CAAACGAGGGGGAGAAGCTGCTACCGCCAAACAGGTTGAGCAGCTTCTCCTCCTGCCCTGCCCCGCACAAGGGCCATGCTGCAGCAATGCTCCCCGAGGCACTGCAGGGCTGAGCCTCATTCACCTCAACCCTGGGCTCAGCACCACTTCCCGGGGCTGCTCTCAGCTCGGCAAGAGCGCGGTCACGAGGCTGCTGCTACTTCTGATGTAGGGCTGCGCTGCACAGCCCGAATCAGGCACAATTCCCAGCAGGATAAGCCAGGCTGGGACACAGATGAGCCTGCTGTCCCACTAGCAGAACGGGTAGCACAGAGAGGGAAGGGCCCGGAGCTACATCCAACCACCCAGTGGAACTCCTTGCTGCAGGACGACCAGCTCAATTAGCACTGAGTTTTAACCACCAATTAAGCAAACAATTAGAAGCGGATGCAAGTTTTCTCCTGCATGAGCTGCGTGTGACTCAGCTCATGGTATCGCCTCTGTGATCAACCTTCCTCCAAAGAGGGTGAAGTTAAAGGAACCCCATAGCATCCCCCGCCCCAGTGCCTCCTGCCACGAACCTGAGCCGCCGCCGAGGATCAGACGGGGTCCCTGCCCGCCTGGCCGTGCCGTAGTCAGACATAAGCCCATAGTCCACATCTTCGAAGCCCACGCTGCGCTGATCATCCTCCAGGCCATACGGCTCGGGGTGGAAGTGGTTGAGGTCCATGCTGCTGCCCCCGACACGCACTTGAGGCTGGGGGCCATAGATGTCCTGACGGCTGGGGGCCCGGTAGGTGTCCATGGAGGGGCGGTAGCGCTCGTCAATGCGGGTGACACGGGACAGGCTGCCATAGCTGTGATCGCTGCCCGGGTAGCCATCCTCGTGGGGGGGGCGGTAGCCATCAGGGTAGTGGTAGTTACGAGGGAGGGGGGCTGTGCCCGGCTGGCTCAGGTAGCTGCCGGGGCCCCCGTTGCCGTTCTTGCGGAAGTTCCTGTCCATGGTCTGGACATAGTTGCTGGTGATAGGGGAGGTTTCCAAAGGTAACCCATCAGGCCCCACCGGCACCTGCTGCACTGTCCGGGTGGTCACAGTCTTCACCACTTTCTTCACCTAGAGGGACAGGTGCAAGACACACTCCCAGCAGGAAATCCACCACACCCCTGCGTCCCCAGATTCCCCTTCCAGCCCAGCACCTTACTGCAGGCAGATTTCACACCCTGTTTCAGCTCACAGCACAGCAAGCTGGCAGACATCACGACTGTAGCACGCCAGCCATCAGGGTCCCTGGCCAGAGCCCTGTCCCTCCATGCTCTCCCCAGGCCCGTACCGTGGTCTCTGTACGCCGGGTCGTCCCATCATCTGATGTCTCCACAGACACGACCGACATGGCCCCTTCTGGGTCCTCCTCCATGGTGTATGTCTCCTCGACAATCTGGCCCGGGTCCTGCATCCTGGGGATTGTGCTGTACAAGAGGTGGCTGTGGTCCTGAGGGGAGCAAGGGACAGGCAGTCAGCCCCCCATCGCCAACATGGGCCTCTCTGCAGTCAGACAGCCAAGAAATCTCACCTCTCAGGGAGCCCTGATATCCTCTTGCATGGGAGGGGGTACCAACAACCCCAAAACCAAAGCCCCTTCAAGCCAGGGCGGCCACATTAGAAACACAAGTCCCCCTGTCTACCAGCTAGGGTGGGGACACTGGAGCCCTGCCCTGGCACTCCCCACCCAGCAAGCAGGCTGCCCACAGCCAGAGGGCTCAGCTCCCCTTACCTGCGGCCCGTTGAGCTTCAGATCTGGATATTTCTGCCTTTCCAGGTCAGCATCGCCCAAGAAACGGCCGTTCTGAAACACACAGCACCACAGCAGGCCTGTTACTAGACTGATCTCCCACTGCCAGGATCCCGTACGTCCACCCACCCCTTCCGTGCCAGGCCCCGAGCAGGCCATCTCCTGCATCTGACAGAGACACCCAATGCACACCCCACCTGTCACTCCCAGGTGAGAAGCACGCTCCTCGGGGGTCTGTGCAACATGCAGCAAACCACCCCCCATTCCAGCCTGGGAACGAGTTG